ATAATAAAAATAGTTTTGATAAGAGATTGCTTTAATTGAGCTTATAAGATATATAAAAACATAATTTGATAAAGTACTGCCTGGCTTAAGGCGAGTAGAATAAGGAAAACAAATTATTATTTACATAATGTACAAAAGTTTTGAGCCGGCCATCGGGGAAAAACAACAATGAGTATTTATAGAGAAAGCGTGACCTCTGGCGGTCGATTTAAACAGAGTATTTGAATCGATGAAATATAATTTTAAAATAATACCTTTATATAACATATATATATATTGACGTGACAACGTCTTAAATTAGGTTGCGGCTGGGAGTCACTTATGAAAAAGTGTAACGCCCGGTAACGTTACGATGAGTCACCGAACGAGAGTGCTGCGCGCGCAGCTGCGCGCGCAGCGCTAGAGAATTAGGCGCATTGAATCGGCGCATGCTTGTCTCTGTCTTTGTCTTTCTCGAACGTTCTTGGCGTTGGAAAAACAAGAAAGCGTCATAATACAAGTTCACACGTGTGGTTAAAGTATCGTCAGCTGTGTCTGTAGTGAAAATGTGGAGTGCTTAGATTCGTCATTTACAACAACTACAACAATAAAGGTAAATAATTGTACACTGATATTTCATTATCGTAAACTATGATTGATTGATTAATTGTTAGATTGACACAAAAGTTGAGAAACTGAGTTTATAGGTTATGTCATACTATTGATAAATGTTGATAGTGTTAAGTAAATTATTAGTTTAAAATTAATTAATTAATTAATTATTATTTTACAAATTTTAAATAGTTTCAAATTTATTTAGCAAAAATTTGAACCTTCGATCTGAATAAATGTTTTGATTTTCGAATTGATTATTTAAAATTACAAATATTAAGAAAAAGTGGCAGATATAAGAAAACTTTATTTAAACTGTGTTGAGCAAGAATTTTAACATCTAATATAAGTAAATGTTTTAATTTTCAACTTCATCATTTACAATTACAAATTTTATTTAATTTCAAATTTATTTAGCAAAAATTTGAACCTTCGATCTAAATAAGTGTTTTGATTTTCAAATTGATTCTTTAAAATTAAAAATTCATCCATTCAATTTCAAATGTTCAACAGGAATCATCACTCTCAAAACAATGGAAACGGTGCCTTCAACTTCCAGTACTATGGAACAACGAAAGGTACTGCAGACGTTGACGGCACTGGATAAACGTTTCTAAGTCAACTACGTTAAAAGAAACAACTATCGACTTGACTTTCGCAAGACACATTACAGCAGAAACACTTCCTTTCATTTCATATTTCTCCTATCATCGTCCTATCCTCAACAAAATCACTCAAATAGGAATTAGTTAAGTTTAAGTTTACATGTACAATGTTTTAGTAAACAAAATATATTTCTATAGTTAAAATTTGTGCAATTCTTATTTTCATTCAATTCCTTGTTCCTATTGTGTGCAATTTAATTATATTCATATCAATAAATATTCTACCGTTGTCACGTAAAATCTTCGCACGTAAAACCGACTTTACAGGCAACCATTGTTTTTTTACACAAATTAAATTTCTGGCAATGCGTTTCTTTTAAATATCATCAAATATTATCTCTACAGACCTTACTGCAATGATATGAGTTATTGAATGAGAGGGCTTGGCTCATCAGTGGTGAACCCTCTCAGCGGTTTCGCCAAATTAATCTCTAGACCGCTCTACTATTGTATTGGACTGGTTTTGTTAAATACCCTGCATTTTCTATGGAAGGCAGCTTAGGGGTGTTTAGTGAACTATGGACATAAGCTTATAGGTCTGTAGAGGTGCATACATATAATTTCATGGTATTGCATCGAGCAAAGCTCTTCGCAAAATATGTTTTCATAACCAATATATATTAGTAAATTAAATTTTATTGCCATCTATCGTTATTATTTTACACAAATTAAATTTCTGGCAATGCGTTTCTTTAAATGAATTTACCAAAACTGGTGTTGTGGATCATTATATTTCATCTCTAATGAAGACACACGAGATAACCAAGTGTGTATAAAATTGCCTCTGTCTCCTTCAAAAAAAAGACGACCGACGATATTAAAGACTTTCCAATTTCTAAAGTTTTGTCAATGCTTGTATATACGTATATAATTACTCAAAATTATTACTTTACTTTTAGAAAATATAAGAAATACAGATTTGCATAAGGAGCGCCATAAAAATAAATACATAGATATAAATACGACGCTCTCAACTTTACATATTGTCCAAACAACCTCTTGTGTTTAAGAGAAAATATAAATAAAAGCAGAAGATAATTAAAACTTATTGAAGCTATTTTAATGGGTTAAATTAAATATTTAAAATAATGATTTTTCTTTTTTTTTTTTACTTTTCAAAAATCCATGTTTCATTAAATCCCTCTTTTCATTGATATTTCTACGTTTAGGGGAAAAAAGGAAAGAAATTCATAGACTATTATCTAGCCATTATTCTTGGTCAAATTTAATTATATTTTAATCTAAGAAAGATCACAGAGAAATAAAATTTCGATTTTTGTATATCTCTTTCCCCCTTTAAATTAATTACAAAGTTCAACTTGAGAAAAAATTCCATTTGATTCTGTTTTTTTTTTTCTATTAGGTTTCGTTTTCAGGTTAAAGTGTCGGTAAAATTTCAAAGCCGAAAATATGCAAATAAATAGAAAATATTTTAGCAGTTAAGTGTTTTAATACTTCAATAATTTGATTTGATTTGTTTTTCTCTTCCTATTATTTGAAAAAAAAATACCAATTTAAACATTCTTTTTTTGTAAATTGGTATCAAATTATATTTTAGCTTTGAATTAGGCTCTCTGAATTGAAATAATCGAATTCAATATAAATTTAAAGAATATGCTGATATATTTTACACTTATTGAAATATTCAATTTATATATAATATCCATTATAAAGACTATATATAAATATATATATGGAAATTTTGCCGGGAGGATATTGATATAAAAGAGACAAATGTCGCCTCTCCCGTCAAAATAGACGTCAAAACTAGACGCCATCTATTGACCGTCGCCGCAACTAGTGGCCTCGGGTCGGTGACAAAGCCACAACACCAGCTTTGGCAAACTGAGAAGCGTCCACCTAGCGTCTAGTTTTGACGTCTATTTTGACGGGAGAGGTGACCTTTGTCTCTTATATATATACTAGACGAATGGCCCGGGCAACGCCCGGGGTTTACCCGAATCCGAATATATTCTAAAAACGTTGACTTGGGTGGTCGCTATTAACAGGGTGGTCTGTATAGACAGGTGGATGTATCACACAGCTGATAACAGGGTTGTCTAGAGTGGTCGCTATAGACAGGGTGGTCTGTATAGACAGGTTTATGAGAGAGGCACAAACTTACAGGTTGTTGACGCCGCAATCCCCAGAGAGAGTGTTTTTTGTTGCATCATGCTGTGACTCACACGACGACCCAAGGTCAACAGGGGTGGAGCAGCAAGCTTAAGCCTATCACCGTCTGGCGGCGCTGCTTGCGAGTTATATCTACAATTCTGCAAATAACTCTAAGGATATTCAAGATATTCAAGAAATTATTTTTCGAAAACCTTTCCGGGGATATACCTAATAATATCCCAGAATTTCATGGCGATTGGATGTATGGTTTTTGAATAACAGGGTTGTCTAGAGGGGGGCAGGGAGGACACGTGTTCCCTTGCAGCCAATGAGCGCGCATTCTATCCGTGAGCTTCAGACAAACAGACAGAATAAGGCAAATATATAAGTAGATGTTGATAATATGAAAAATAGATATGCAAATTTTAATATATAAACATAAGACCATTAATCGCCATCTTTACATAAGAAAAAAAAACCGTAAAGCACGAATGTTTCTCTTTCAAAACCTATCATTCAAAAACTTTCTATTTTTCCTTACTGCGATGAAAAATATTTATTGGTTTTGTTTGTTAAATTTTGTATATATAAACATTCGAAACTATTATAGACGCGTATGATTATTTTAGAAATTAAACAATTTCTACTGCCCTTACTGTAATGGAAAAATTAATAGGAGGGCCTGGCTCATCAGCGGTGAACATACCCAGCGGTTTCGCCAGTTCAATCTACCATTGTAGATGTACATACCATGGTAGATTAAACTGGCGAAACCGCCAGGAGGGTTCACCACTGATGAGCTAGGCCCTCCCATTAATTTTTCCATTGCAGTAAAGGCAGTAGAAATTATTTAATTTCTTAAATAATCATACGCATCTATAATAGTTTCGAATTTTCATAACAGATGGCGCACTAATGCATTATAATATATATACATAATTATTATATTATCAATAATGAATTTTCTTACACGTTATTTAGAAATATATATATATATAAATACATTTATTGGTATAGATGGTTTTAACTGGCGAAACAGCTTGGAGGGTTCATCACTGATGAGCCAGGCTCTCCCGTTGTTTTTCAATCGCAGCACAGACAAAAGGAATTGTTTTAAAAATAGAATAAAATGCTCAGACACAAAGGTCACTTCTCCGGTCAAAATAGACGTCAAAGCTAGAGCCATCGTCGCAAACTAGCGGCCTCGGGTTGATGACAAAGCCGACGTCTATTCTGAAGTAGCCTCTACTTTAGTCTTTGTATATAATATCAGGACAGTAGATTACACTCGAAGTGTTCCCCACTGATGAGCCAGAAGTCCATTGCAGTAAGAACAGTCTGAAAATTTTTATATATTTGAAATATAAACAAATCGCTATAATATATAATGCACTGCGACCTGTGATTGCAAAACTACACTTGAAGTTACACCGCATGAGTTTCCTTTCAACGAAAAATCAAAATTTATTTCAAGGTGAAATATTGACTATTTCTTACCTTTTTAGATGTGGTATGAAAAGGTGAATTATGAAGAGTAATGATGAACGGAAAAATAAAAGGCCGGAGTGCATTATACGCGTATATTGTATTATAATTTACTTTATGTATTATTTACGAACGGAAAAATACGTCTAGGGTAGCCTAGTGGACATGGCATCTGCCCGGTAAGCGGAACATTGTGGGTTCGGCTCCCATCCCTGGACACTTTTATTTTTCCGTTCATCATTACTCTTCATAATTCACCCTTTCATACTTCATCCAAAAAGGTTAGAATTAGTCAATATTTCACCTTGAAATAAATTTTGATTTTTCGTTGAAAGGAAACTCATTCGGTGTAACTTCAAGTGTTGTTTTGAAATCGCTATAATGTTTATATATATAGTGAGAAAGATGTAAACCTCCCTAGTGAAAAAACAGTGTTTTTCTAGTATAAGAGACAAAAATAAAATATGTTGTAAAATAATAAAAAAGTGAAATCTTTACCCTTACCGAAATGGAAAATGATGAGCCAGGGGCCCTCCGATTAATTTTTCTATTGCAGTAAGAGAACAGTATAAATTGTTTATTTTTAAAAAAGAATCATACGCGTCTATAATATTTTCCAAATATTGATCATATAAAAATAATAAATATTAAAAAATAATAATAATAAAATAGGCAACTTAGAGAGCCTGGTTCTGCACACCTTGTGTCTATTCAGAATCAATCTAACAGACATAGACACATATATCCCTATATTTATAGGATCCAGATAAAATACGTAGATCTTTACAAACAGAGAAAATCCGATAAAAAGGATGAAAATCCCACAGTTTCATCTTACCTAAGGGGAATCAACTCTGGAACGTTCTGAACGCCTGACATTTGTTTTCCCCTCACTACATTTTGTTATGCAAATAAACCGCAATTATTTCACTTCATTTTGTCAGTAAATCTCATCAACTCAGCGCCCTCTATCGCTGATATTTATAATTATTTTAAACGTTACTCCTCTTTACTTTTCAAAACATATATTATATTAAAAGCCATTTCTACTTATGTTATCACTTATATTTTTATAGTTAATGTTTTGTGTACTATTAGTAATAATTTGTTTTTTTTTTAAATATGGAATTTTTTCCGGAAGGTATTGATCCATAAAGATAAAGGTTAACTCTCCCGTCAAAATAGATACTAAAAACTAGACATCATCTATTGTGCCAAAAAACTAGCTGCCTCGGGTCGGTGACAAAGCTACAAGACCATAGATTTGGTTTAACCCACTTTGTCAACTATGTATCTCTTTGGAAAATTGTAAAGATTCCATTCGATTCCTTGTATAACTCATGGAAAAATGTCCGCTCTGGACTGATGAGGGCCATTATTCCGAAACTATGGTCTTCAGGTGGGCGCTTCTCAGTTTGCCAAAGGTGGTGTTGTTTGTGGCGACCGTCAATAGATGACATCTAGCTTTGACCTTTATATTGACGGGAAGGGTAAACTTTATATATATTGGTTTTATTATTTACGTATGCAAATATGAATAAGCGAAAGAACTCTTCCTGTTTAGATAATCAAATAAAGTAAGGCACGAAGGAAGATGAGTTTCTTTTTAATAGGGCGTGTGGCCCGAAAGCTCGCTCGCGTATATTAAAAAGAAACTCATCTTCCTTCATGCCTTACTTTATTTGAAAATGCAAATATGTTATTAAACGTTTTTCTTATTGAGACAGAACTAAGAACGAGAATTCACAGTACAATGAGCTTTGTAAGAGATAACAGTTTAGGAATATTTTCAACACACACACACATTTATTAAGGTTGAAAACAACAGGAATCCTTAATTCTTCCAGTAGAACTTCATTTAAATCAAAGCCTACACTATACCGATAAGGACCACAATCACAGTAACCAGTTAATAGTTGGGATTTTTTCCCCGAATTTGGCAGAACCTGTGTTGCTACGTATATATATATCTGGTTGACTATAATTTAAAATTTTTTTTAAAAAAGTAGATCGTTGGGCGAAGCGTTTCTTCTTTTTAATGGATAAATCAGCAGCTCTCTTAGGAAATTTCAGTCAATACAAAGGCATCATACTCGAAAGCCTGCCACTTATCCACTAATATAAAATGCTTCCCCTGACGAGAAGTACCTAGTAGTTGTTCCTCATAATAATATTAGAATTATAAGATAGAGTTTTGTCCATGAGTGTAGATCAACAAAAAGACGACACGCATTACACATTATATAATTATAAACATCAAGTTTCGAAATTAATTTATTTTTAATTATTTTTTTAAAAGATTTTAAAAAGGTGAGCTTACAAAGAATTACCTTTATCTACGCCCTTATAAGATATTATTATTAACTTGTAATGGTATATATGTATATATAGAAGATATTTCGAGAAAAAGTCTAATTTATTTTTTCGCTTAAAAACAACACTAAACAAAGTTGATTTAATTAAAACATTATGACTTTAATTGTTAAACGCCTTAGCTTTGTCGGATCGCCAAGAATGGACCATTCAGGGATTAGTGACAAATTTGCGGATTGCGACCTTGAACATAAAGTCGGTGTAGTGCCTCAAATTATCTATCCTCATCGCCCTCGCGTGCACATTTTCCATCTCACACGATAACGGCGCGTTACCACTATATTATATCTCTTTAACGATAATATGCTATACGTGAAATAGTATATGGATTAGGGAAGAATGAAGCTACAAAATTATCCTGTACAATATTATATATGTAAATATTTTATTCAACTTTAAAAATGAGCTTTCGAGACGGCTCTTTAACAGGAAAATTACCATATTGTTACGTTAACAAGGAAATTCGACCTTAATATAACTTAATATTGCCAACTAGTTTGTCTTATAATTATATAATTGGCATTTGAAAAAGAACTTAGGCTCGAAAGCTGGCCTTTTAAAAAGTGAATTAAATATGCATATATTTCAAAAGATAATAATATATAAAAATAATATGTTTACTTTTAATATAAAAACACATTTTCTATATTGGAGTAAAGTGTTTGAGTGTATTGAAAATGATAATGATAATTGTGTCAGCTTTCGTTAAAAGCACCTTTTTCACTTACGGCTACCTATTCGATCCAAATCTAATGTGTATAAACGGAATACAATTATTTATTTACGTTGATTTATACTTTTTCCTTGTAAAGTCATAGAGGTATTGACTTTATATGTTAGGGGAGGGTACCTCTATCTAAAAATATATAACAATCTAAAATAAATAATATTTTAACAAATTATATTTAAAACGCTTTTTTTTAAATGTGTTCAAAAATGAGAAATTTCTCATCTTTAGTTAGATTTTTGGACACTCATTTAACAGAAACTTATTAAAATATCTTTCTATATGTTTCTACATTTTGAAAATTTTGGAACCATCTCGAAACCAATATGCAAATATGAGAAGATTTACAGAAATGCAACACTTACTTGTGTTATCTTCCGTTTCATGATGATCACCTTGGTTCCGTCTACACACAAAGTTTGTATACGTCATACAACAATTACATCATCAACAACAATAAAAGATAAGTCAGCAACTAAAACAACAACTTAATATCAAAAAGACAAAAAAAAAGTTACTCAAGTTAATCTAAAATAAAGAAGTTAGTGAAATAACCGCCAGGGGCGCAACCGAGTTATCGGAGCAGCAGATTTCCGGTGATCTAATTGAAGATGTCACTCCAGCGCGACATCAATTAGCACCGTCAAAACGTTATGCGACAACTGGCATGTCTACATATCTACATATATTCCTACGTATTTACACATCTAATTACATATATGCTGCATATATTCACTTAGATAGCCCGTACAAAATTCCACCCACATAATTGCATATCTACTGCATATTAACATAATGACCTTTAAAACTATGTTATGATTAAATATTAAATATGTATGATAGTATATTCAAATATATATATGCATAATATTCTACATAAACATATCTATCTAAATATTTACTGAGAATATAATGACACATATATATACTATATAAATTCTTACAAATTTTTCCACATATTTGCATATGTACCTGCATTTATACTTCAAATTCACACATTTACCATCACCATATTTTAAAAAGAGTTATCTCAACGAACTATCGCAATAAGAGTTTAGTCTAGATCCATTATGAGCCTCAATAAATAAAGATATACAATTTATTGATTCCTTTAAAAACATATTTGCATGAGTCAGAAATGTAATTCCATAGTTACATTATATCAGGCATTTTGTATAACGAAGATATATATACATCATATATCTCTCTTCTCTTCTCCTCCACGTTTATTAAATACACAATATATTTTGGTCTGATAAAGAGCGAACGCTTGAAAGCTCGCGGTTAAATATAAGGAAGAAAACACATTAATATATGGTTGATTTACATAAACTTAAAAGGATAAATTGAAGATGTTGACACCTCATAGAGCTGAATCTCCAACTGGAATTGAGCATAGTATCGAATTTATAATAATGTTATATTCTCTATAAATTGATTCAGATGTTCCCTGATATTTGGCCAACCTATTTTCTTGATAAATCAAGAAAAGCCAACAATAAACGCATTTCGAGCTGTTGGCACTCATCAGCGTGGTGCAGGCTGTACCTCTACGACCAAATATATTGAGAATAGCCGCGACATCTGACGATCGACTTTACAGCGTAGTAGTGCAATACCAGGCCAGCCTGTAGCGAGGGTGGAGCAAGTTCAAAGAGGGTTTGGAAGGTCCTTAATCCAGGTTATGGTCCATGAAAGGACTGTACGAGGCCATTCTTATAGTACGACAGATACACTTTACATAGTAGTGTTTAAATAAAATAGCATATTTTGGATCAAAATATCATTTATTTTACCAATATTTTGATCCAATAT